TTGTGACACACCTGGTTGCCCTGGCAATAAGCCCGCCTTCTGTTGGCATGGAGATGCTACCTGGTGGCCATGGGGTGGGCAAGGGCTCTGCTCACAGATGTCCCAAGGAGTCCTCCTGGGAGGAAGGTAGGGGGGGCAGCGAAGAAGGGAGGTTGTATCCCCCCCTCCCCATCCCCTTCCCCATACCCATCCCTTTGCCTTTCCCTGACCCCATCCCCTTCCCCATCTCCTTCCTCTTCTCCATCTCCTTCCTCCTCCTCCTCCTTTTTTGTCTTCTTCTCCTTATCCTCCTTTATTTGTTTGTTTGTTTGTTTGTTTACTCTGTCTGCTGGCGCCTCATGGCAGTCCGTGGGCAATCTCATCTCCATCTCCATCTCCATCCTCCACTTCCTCTTCTGCATCTCCTTCCTCTCCTCCCTCTCCTCCTTCTTCCTTTTCTTCGCCTTATCCTCCTTTATTTGTTTGTTTGTTTGTTTGTTTACTCTCAGTCTGCTGGCGCCTCATGGCAGTCCGTGGGCAATCTCATCTCCATCTCCATCCTTCCTCTTCTCCTCCTCTGCCTCTTTTCCTCCCCCTCTTCTTTCTTCCCCCTCCTTTCTTCTTCTCTGTCTCCCCCTTTTTTTCTTCTCCTTTTTGCAGGAGTGCCAGCATGGAAGAGGAAGAGGAGGACCCCATGGAAGACGTGCCTGGCTGGGGCCCATGGAGGATGAGGATGAGGAGGAGGGATCCGGGGGCCGGGCTGGGGGCCAGCAGACCTCCTCCAGCACCCGGGAGGTGGACAAGGAGCTGCTCCCGGACACCTCCACCTTCCCGGGGGGCGACGACGACGACACCCTTTGATGTTCTGAAGCCACTGGAACCCCCAGGAGGACCCAGCAGGGACTGGACCCCAAATTATAGCAAATTCAGCCCTTGAATAAATGTACTGAAGAATATTTTGAGTGTATGTTGTATTCCTTCATGTTGTGTAAGGCTAGATCAATGTATTATTCTAGAGCTGGAATTTAGGGGTCTTGGCCAGGAGGCAGAGACCAATCAGACTCCTTAAAGAGTTCGTTACCCTGGCGAGACAGAGAGAAGCCCCCAATCCCTGATTTTTCCCAATAAAAGGTCTCACCAAGTGGAAGGAAGTGCCACCGAGATGTTTTATTTGCGATCCAGCTGAAAAGGATGCAGAGCGGCAATCATTCGCCAAGCAGAGCATGTGGTTACAGAAATAAATGCTATTTTTATAGAAATACAGAGTTGTATGGTTCAAATCTCCCGCGCCCGCCCCCCGGCTGGTCTTCGTCGTGATTGGCTGACGTGCCAACAGCTGGGAGGAGGCTCGTCCGCCCCCGGCGCATCTGGACCAATCAAGAAGCTGCTGCAGTGTGTCAGGGCCAATGAAAAGGTTTCTACCGCTCTGGAGGGAGGGAGGCGGGAGAAGGGAAAAACAATGGATACTTGAATGGATTATGAAGTAAGGAAATGCCAGCGGCTTAATGAGTCCCAGGAAGGGCCTTCTAATCAAGCAGTTCTGTTGATTCATGAATGGTGATAATTGAATACAAACAGGAAAATCCGGGCTTTCTGTGGCGGCAAAACAGAAGGACAAAAGGGGCGATACTGGGTGAAGTTTTTGATGAATGACTGAATGGGGCAACAGGACGGAAAGGGGGGTGCTTTTCGAAGGCGCCCTTCCCCATCGCCAATTGGAAAAGTAATCCAAAGTCTGCCAAGGGGCGACCTCCTTGCTGGGCGAAACTCCGAGGGCAAGGATGTCGCCTTTGTTTCTGTCCATGCAAAAGATGTGTTGATAAGAGTCCTTTGGGATTGATTTAGGCTCGGCACCCTTTCAGTATCGGGGGGGGGGGCACTTCCTGGTGGGATTCCATCACAGGGAAAGGGGAGGAAAAGGTCAAGGAGGAAACCTCAGCCAGAAGGAAAATCATGAAAATATATCATAAGTCCATAGTCCATAAAGGGAAATATATCCATGAGAGGGAAAGAGAGTCCCTTTCCCCGGGGAGTGAATTCCACAGGTGGGGGGCCACCACCGAGAAGGCCCTGCTCCTCGTCCCTGCCAACCTCACTTGTGATAGAGACGGGGTTGAGAGCAGGGCCTCCCCAGAAGATCTCAAACTCCGAGGCAGGACGTAGAGGGAGATCCGTTCGGACAGATACGCTGGGCCGGAACCGTATAGGGTTTTGTAGGTTAAAACCAGCACTTTGAATTGTGCTCGGAACTGGATCAGCAGCCAGTGGAGCTGACACAACAGGGGGGTGGTGTGCTCCCTGTATGACGCTCCGGTGAGTAATCTGGCTGCCTCCCGCTGGACTAATTGAAGTTTCCAAACAGTCTTCAAAGGCAACCCCACGTAGAGCGCGTTGCAGTAATCTATTTGGGATGTAACAAGAGCGTGGACCACTGTGGCCAGATCAGACTTCCCAAGGTACATACAGAGTTAAAACAATAGCAATTAATTATAACCAAATTATCATAACAGTCATTAAATTTAAAATAATACTCAGTCCACAAACCCATTGATCGAACAATAAAACTGTATCCATTAAAATTAGAAAATGTGGACCCTTTCCGCTCCCTTGGCAGCCACCTCTCCACCAAAGTCAACATTGACACTGAAATTCAACCCCGCCTGAGCTCTGCGAGTGCAGCATTTTTCCAAATGAAGCAGAGAGTGTTTGAGGACCGAGACATCCGTAGGGAGACCAAGGGGCTTGTTTATAAAACTATTGTCCTCCCAAACATACTATATGCCTGCGAGACATGGACTGTCTACAGACGCCACATGCAACTCCTGGAATGATTCCATCAGCGCTGCCTCCGGAAAATCCTGCAAATCTCTTGGGAAGACAGGCGGGGTAATGTCAGCATGCTGGAAAAAGAAGCAAAGCCACCAGCATTGAAGCGATGGTCCTCTGCCATCAACTCCGCTGGACTGGCCACGTTGTCCGGATGCCCGACCACCGTCTCCCAAAGCAGTTGCTCTACTCCGAACTCAAGAACGGAAAACGGAATGTTGTTGGGCAGGAAAAGAGATTGAAAGATGGGCTCAAAGCCAACCTTAAAAACTTTGGCATAGACACTGAGAACTGGGAAGCCCTGGCCCTTGAGCGCTCCAGTTGGAGGTCAGCTGTGACCAGTAGTGCTGCAGAATTTGAAGAGGCACAAATGGAGCTGCTCTACTCTGAACTCAAGAACGGAAAACAGAATGTTGGAGGACAGGAAAAGAGATTGAAAGGTGGGCTCAAAGCACACCTTAAGAACTGTGTGTCCGATGGGCAAGGAATGCAGCATATGAACACTCACATCCTTCCAAGAAACCTGATCAACTGAATGAAAAAGGATGGCGAGTATGAATGGGTGAATGAATGGATTATGAGTGAATGTTAGAGTATATGTGACATTTCCCCTGTTGTCTGTTTAACTAATATAACTCATATAAAACCCGGGACTGGGTCTGTTTATCGTGTCAGGGGCAACCAGGCCATTGCATTGCATTTCCAACAGAACAGAACAAACAAACAAACAGATTAAAAATAGACACAAAGTTTGCAAGCTTGGTAGTGGATTAAATCTGGACCCTTGGAGTGCCTCTGGTGTTGCCGCAGGAAGGTCCTCCCTTGTGCATGTGACAGGGCTCAGGTTGCATTGCAGCAGGTGGTCAGTGGTTTGCTCTTCTCCACACTCGCATGTCGTGGATTCCACTTTGTGGCCCCATTTCCTAAGATTGGCTCTGTATCTCGTGGTGCCAGAACGCAGTCTGTTCAGCGCCTTCCAAGTCGCCCAGTCTTCTTCTGTGTGCCCAGGAGGGAGTCCCTCATTTGGTATCAGCCATTGATTGAGGTTCTGGGTTTGTGCCTGCCACTTTTGGACTCTTGCTTGCTGAGGTGTTCCAGCGAGTGTCTCTGTAGATCTTAGAAAACTATTTCTTGATTTAAGTCATTGACGTGCTGGCTGGTACCCAAACAGGGGATGAGCTGGAGATGTCTCTGCCTTGGTCCTTTCACTATTGGCTGCCACTTCCCAGCGGATGTCAGGTGGTGCAATACCAGCTAAGCAGTGTAATTTCTCCAGTGGTGTAGGGCGCAGGGACCCCATGATAATGTGGCATGTCTCATTAAGAGCCACATCTACTGTTTTAACGTGGTGAGATGTGTTCCACACTGGGCATGCGTACTCAGCAGCAGAGTAGCATAGCGCAAGGGCAGGTGTCTTCACTGTGTCTGGTTGTGATCCTCAGGTTGTGCCAGTCAGCTTTTGTACGATATTGTTTCTAGCACCCTCTTTTTGCTTGATGTTCAGGCGACTTCTTGTAAGTCAGAGCATGGTCCAGGGTGACTCCCAGGTATTTGGGTGTGCTGCAATGCTCCAGTGGGATTCCTTCCCACTGGGTCTGTGTGTCTAGTAGACACTGTTTAGACTACTTTCTCTGAAAATGCCTGATACTCTGTCCTACTGAAAACAGATTAAAGAACATTTTAAGGTTCAAAAAGTATTCATGACAGAGTCTCCTGTTCTGGAGCTTTCAAAGATTCCCGACTGAGAGCTGTTCCGCAGTGGAACTCTCTGCCCCGGAATGTGGTGGAGGCTCCCTCTTTGGAGGCTTTTAAATAAAGGCTGGATGGCCATCTGTCAGGGGTGCTTTGAATGCAATATTCCTGCTTCTTGGCAGAATGGGGTTGGACTGGATGGCCCAGGAGGTCTCCTCCAACTCTTTGATTCTATGATTCTATGATTGTATGATTGATCTGAGATAAGCATTGATCACTTAATCCGGGTTTTCCTCTTGCCGTCAGATAGGGGCACAAAGGGGAAAACTTTGGATTCTATGACTGCATGGATTGTGTGATTCCGCCAGGTAGAATGGAGTTAGGCTGGGTGGCCATTGTGTCCTCTTCAGATTCTATGGGCCTGTGGTTCTATGAGAGGGTTCCAAGCCAGCTGTGCTCACAAAGGGTCGCCGAAGGTGCCGGATGGGCGTGTGTCCGAGGCCATGGCTGGCGGGTACCAGCTGTGGGCACCCCGCTCCCCTCTGGATGAGTCCCTGCGGTGGCTGAGGGGCCCGGCCCCTAGAGCCACGTACAGCACCAGGCCCCCCTTTCCGAGGGGCCGGAGCCCGGAGTCTGCTGTTACAGCCACTGACTTGGAGGTGCAGCTCTGCTTCCAGGGCCTGAGCCTGGTGCTGGAGCCAGGGGTCAAGGGGGCAACCGGACCCACCTTCGGAGCAGCCGGAGAGGCCCGTGGGCAGGTGGCTAGGGTGCAGAGGCCTCAGGCGGTGCGCCTGCGAGGGCTGGACACGGTCTTCGGTCGAAGGGTGACCGTGCGGGCTCCCCGCTGGACTGGCTCCCTGAGGGCCTCGGAGCCGTCGGCCTTCCGTCCAGTGGTCAGTTCTCGCCAGCGCTGGCCCCGTGGACTCCGGGAACCACAAGCCCACATGGCCACCAGTCTCTGCCGACAGATGCTGCGCGCCATCCTCCTGCTCTACGCCGCCTACAAGAAGTGCGCCTGGGCTCTGCAGCACTCCTGCTGAGGGTTGGAGCCAGGGATGGATGCTCAGCAAGGCTATGCTCATCTCCATCCTCTTCTTTGGACTTATCATCTCCTCCGGCATCTTCCACACTTTGGGAGAATCAGCGCCACTCTCTTCCATCTTCTTCCTCTCCTTCCCTGAGCACCTCGTACTCAATCTCCAGTGTCTTATTGCAAAGGGAGAACCCAGCGGGACCAACGGATTCTGCACTGGAGGATGAGAGCAACCACATATCATCCCTACAGTAATACTACTCCCCACCCCCACCCCCGGAAGATTTTTAGTTCACCAAGGGCTTCATAATAAATATATACATATATATATTCTTTTTTAACTTTCACAAGTTTGAGGCATTGGGAGATCAGGAGCGGGTCAGCGGCGACTTCGAGAATAGGAAGGCTTGACAATCCCTCTGGCCGTTTCCCAAGCCAGGTAATTGCCGGGTCCCGTAAAGACTCTCTCAAGCTAGCCCTTCAATAAATTTTATCTATTTTTCATGATTTTTCTGTGTAGCTTATATCCTTTGACTTGTCCCCATGTAAGCCGCCCTGAGTCCCTCCGGGGAGATGGAGGCGGGGTACAAAAATAAAGTTCTTATTATATTATCTCTATCTATCTAAATAAAAATGTAGTGTTAGTTTGTGGGATTAACAGAACTCAAAAACCACTGAACGAATTGACACCAAATTTGGACACAAGGCACCTAACAAGCAAATCTATGTCCTTCACTCAAAAAATGGATTTTGTCATTTGGGAGTTGTACTTGCTGGGATTTATAGTTCACCTGAGAGCTGTTCAGCTGTGGAACTCTCTGCCCCAGAGTGTGGTGGAGGCTCCTTCTTTGGAAGCTTTTAAACAGAGGCTGGGTGGCCATCTGTCAGGGGTGATTTGAATGCAATATTCCTGCTTCTTGATATAATGGGGTTGGACTGGATGGCCCAAGAGGTCTCTTCCAACTCTTTGATTCTATGATTCTACAATCAAAGAGCATTCTGAACTCAACCAATGATGGAATTGAATCAAACTTGGCACATAGGACTCCCATGACCAACAGAAAACACTAGAAGGGTTTGGTGGGCATTGATGTTGAGTTTGGGAGTTGTAGTTCACCTACATCCAGAGAACACTGTGGACACAAACCATGATGGATCTGGACCAAACTCTGCACAAATGCTCAATATGCCCAAATGTGAACACTGGTGGAGTTTGGGGAAAATAGAATTTTGACATTTGGGAGTTTTAGTTGCTGGGATGTATAGTTCACCTACAATCACAGAGCATTCTGAATCCCACCAACAATAGAATTGGGCCAAATCTCCCACACAGAACCCCCATGTGGCCCACAGCAACGTGTGGCAGGGGACAGCTAGTCTATATAAATAAAAATGTAATGTTTGTGGGATTAACATAACTTAAAAACCACTGGGTGAATTGGCAACAAATTTGGACACAAGACGCCTCTCAGGCCAACGAGTGACCATCACCCATAAAAACACTGAAAAACACAGCAGAAAAGACTTAAAAAACCCCAAAATTAAAAAAAAACACATTACAATGCATGAACAAAACTACATATATACACATATAAACAAATATATATATACACACACACAAAACACATATATACAGACTGGATCACAGCAAAGTGTGGCAGGGGATGGCTAGTAATAAATAAATAAATAAATAAATAAATAAATAAATAAATAAATAAATAAATAAATAAATAAATATTTTTAGTGTTTTCGCCTGCCTTCAGCTAACTGCCATCCTGAGGTGACCACCAGAGGGCAGCAAATGCTAAGTTTCCCCCTGTTTAGAAGAATTCATCTGATTTTCTGTCTCTGTGATCATTGGAGTTTGAAAAGTTTGGCTTGTTGTGAAAACAAGGATTGGGGATAAAGCTTGAGTGGAGACCCCTTTTCCCCGTAATAATAACTCTTCCAGGAGTGGTTTTCCCTTCCTTCCAAGAGGGAGATTTCTCTCACTTCCAGTTTTCTCACTAGGAGTCGTTTGTAAGTCGGATGTTTGTAACTTGAGAACGGAATGTATATTGTATTGTCGAAGGCTTTCATGGCTGGAATCACTGGGTTGTTGTAGGTTTTTTCGAGTTATATGGCCATGATCTAGAGGCATTCTCTCCTGACGTTTCGCCTGCATCTATGGCAAGCATCCTCAGAGGGAGTGAGGTCTGTTGGAAGTAGGAAAAAGGGTTTATATATCTGTGGAATGATGACCAGGGTGGGACAAAGGACTCTTGTCTGCTGGAGCTAGGTGTGAATGTTTCAACGGACCACCTTGATTAGCATATAATGGCCTGACAGTGCCTGGAGCAAACTTGTCTAATCTAATCACCTCTCAACAAAAGTTTGCTCCAAGCACTGTCAGATGTCTAATCCAGATATTTGGGTGCGCTGCAATGCTCCTGTGGGATTCCTTCCCAGGTCATCCTCAGAGCTCGAGATGCTTGTCTGTTCTTAAGGTGAAAAGCACATGTCTGTGTTTCAGATAGATTAGGAACTTTGTAGAGGTGGCACAACAGGAAAATTGGTCTATAGCTTTTTGGGGGACATGAGGAAGGCTCCTTGCAGGATTGCAAGACATCAGGGTGTCCCCTGGGCAATGTCTTCGTAGATGGCTGATTCTCTCACTCCAGAAGCAATCAGAAGCGACTTGCAGCAGCAAACTAAGAGATAACGTTGGGATTAGCTAGAACCGTGGATAAGAGGAGCCATACCTGGCGAGTGTATACCAAACCAGATAGGCTAGGACCAAGAACTCACCACAGAGGTTTAATGCAATTCAAAAACAGGGGAACTCCAGACAAGAAACAATCAGGGACAGTTAATCACCTCTCAACAAAGGATTCCCCCAGGCAGTAAGAAGCCACACCTTGAAAACTGCTGGTCCATTAAATGCTAATCAAGGTGGCCAATTGAAACATTCACACCTCCCTCCAACAGACAAGATTTCTTTCTCACACCTTGGACATTATTCCACAGATATATAAACCGCACTTGCCTAGTTGCAACAGATCTCACAACGTATTGTTGAAGGCTTTAATGGCCAGAATCACTGGGTTGTGTAGGCTTTTCAGGCTGTGTGGCCATGTTCTAGAATCATAGAATCAAAGAGTTGGAAGAGACCTCATGGGCCATCATCCAGTCCAACCTTATTCTGCCAAGAAGCAGGAATATTGCATTCAAATCACCCCTGACAGATGGCCATCCAGCCTCTGTTTAAAAGCTAAAAAAAAACCCTTAAAAAGCCTTTAAAAAACAAAAAAAAATGCTGGCCACATGACCTTGGAGGTGTCTACGGACAACGCCGGCTCTTTGGCTTAGACATGGAGACTGGACCATGTCAGGGGGAAACCTTTATCTTTACTTGCTTTGAACTGGATTACACGGCAGTGTAGCCTCACATAAACCAGTTCAAAACTAATAATGTAATGGCGCTCCATGCAGTCATGCTGGCCAGATGACCTTGGAAGTGTCTACGGACAATGCTGGCTCTTCGGCTTAGAAATGGAGATGAGCACCAGAGTCGGACACGACACCCCAGCAAGCGAGAGTCCAAAAGTGGCAGGCTCAAACCCAGAGTCCAGAGTCGGACACGACTGGACTTAATGTCAGGGGAAAACTTTTACCTTTACCATATACACACACATACACACAGACAGATATATATATAGACAGACAGACAGACAGTAAGGTAATGCTCAAGATCCTGCAAGGAAGACTCCAGCAAGACATGGAGCGAGAGTTGCCAGATGTTCAAGCTGGGTTTAGAAAAGGCAGAGGAACGAGAGACCAGATTGCCAATATCCGGATGCTGGAGAATGGAGAAAGGCAGGGAGTTTCAGAAAAACATCTACTTCTGCTTCATTGACTCTTCTAAAGCCTTTGACTGTGTGGATCATAATAAATTGTGGCAAGTTCTTGGTGGGATGGGCATCCCAAGCCCCCTTCCCTCTCTCCTGAGGAATCTGTACAAGGACCAAGTAGCAACAGTCAGAACTGACCACGGAACAACAGACTGGTTCAAGATTGGGAAAGGCGTACGGCAAGGCTGCATACTCTCACCCAACCTTTTTAACTTGTATGCAGAACACATCATGCGATGTGCGGGGCTTGAGGAATGCAAAGCTGGGGTGAAAATTGCTGGAAGAAACATTAACAACCTCAGATATGCAGATGACACCACTCTGATGGCCGAAAGCGAGGAGGAGCTGAGGAGCCTTCTAATCAAGGTGAAAGAAGAAAGCGCAAAAGCCGGGTTGCAGCTAAACGTCAAAAAAACCAAGATTATGGCAACAAGAATGATTGACAACTGGAAAATAGAGGGAGAAACCGTGGAGGCCGTGACAGACTTTGTATTTCTAGGTGCAAAGATTACTGCAGATGCAGACTGTAGCCAGGAAATCAGAAGACGCTTACTTCTTGGGAGGAGAGCAATGTCCAATCTCGATAAAATAGTAAAGAGTAGAGACATCAGACTGGCAACAAAGATCCGCCTAGTCAAAGCCATGGTATTCCCTGTAGTCACATCTACGGATGTGAGAGCTGGACCTTAAGGAAGGCTGAGCGAAGGAAGATCGATGCTTTTGAGCTGTGGTGTTGGAGGAAAGTGCTGAGAGTGCCTTGGACTGCGAGAAGATCCAACCAGTCCATCCTCCAGGAAATAAAGCCCGACTGCTCACTGGAGGGAAAGATACTAGAGACAAAGTTGAAGTACTTTGAATGCCACATCATGAGGAGACAGGAAAGCCTAGAGAAGACAATTATGCTGGGGAAAGTGGAAGGCAAAAGGAAGAGGGGCCGACCAAGGGCAAGATGGATGGATGGCATCCTTGAAGTGACTGGACTGACCTTGAGGGAGCTGGGGGTGGTAACGGCCGACAGGGAGCTCTGGCGTGGGCTGGTCCATGAGGTCACGAAGAGTCGGAGACGACTGAACGAATGAACAACAACAATATATACACACACACACACACACACATA